AACTGTTATCAGTCTGCGGATATTTATTTATTGTTAGCACCTCACCTCAATAATCGAATCACAAAATATTTCGTTTTGGAACTATGCTTTGGGCAGTGAGTAAATACGGTACTTCGTTACGAGGAAAAACCAACAATTAATATTCTGCATTGTCCTCTCTTCGTTCCTATGCTTATTTGTGGTCATGATTCATAGACGGTAGTCAAGAAACACACAATCGCGAATACAAACACCTGAAATGGGCTTCATGAAAAAAATCGCAGGGCTTACGAGTCGCTACGAAGATCATGGCTCAACGACCGTGGAACCTTTGGAATTCACCTCACAGTTAAGAGGTAGCACGTTCACTGGTTCCGGCATAACCCCCAATCGTCACTAGGAAGGATGGCTAAGTAGCCATCCCTTGCTCACGGATCAGTGAAAGAAACCAGAATGATTCGGAGTGGTGAACTGCACTCCAGAATTTAAACATTTTCTGCCAAGGTAGTGTTTGAAGACCAGAAACGTTATCGATACTGTCTGATGGCGCTACGCTCCTGCGACCTGAAAGGAGAAGCACCATCAAGACTGCCGGTTGGAAATGAAAAATCTCAAAAAGTTCCATCGAGTAAAAGATAGCGATCGTATTGTTCTGCGGCGTCTACATGCTACATGTTCTCGTTTTTCAAATGATGTTTTTGCCAAATGCGAACCAGTCCTGCGAAGAATTTCAAACGAATAAACATGTTCATGAAAACGAGCCCCATTGATCATCGGAATCGATTATATAGCAATGTTCCATCGTTTTTCGAGAAGCTACCGGTCCTACACATAGGTCGTTTCCGGAACGCCGACGTTCTGACGATGGATTAGAACGTGGATTTCGAATATGTCTATGATTCATGACTGTATTTTAGTGTGACTCCGAGCTGCACTTCTCGCTTCCAGAAGGTCGAGGCTGCTACCTGTCAGTGCTTCCGCGATAAGCAAGCCGAACTGGTATCGAAGATGCACCGAGTGCGAGACGTGCTTATGACCGCCCAAAGCACATCGCAGTGCGAAGAAGGAATCGAAGCCGCGTAAGAGATTGACTTAAGCATCAAACATGCGCTTTTTCTTGGTATAACTCTTCATCCACCGCTGGATTGCTTATAGGATTGGCCCGTGGGTGAAGAAGGTCATGAAGGCAATGAAGGACTGCTCAAGCAGTGGTACGGCGAATATCTTGCAGAAAATTCCTCCAAACAAAGTTATTAAAGTCGGTTGCATGAAGATAGTCAGTCTCAAAGGTTCGGGCCGAAAGCAAATCGAAATTGGCTTCCGATTCATCGATTACTTTTTGGATGCATTGCATGTTCGATTGATCAAGTTCTGCCAGTGTTCCTAAGTATTTTAAGACCTATAAAACCGTTTTTGTACTAAACTTCAATTTTAAAACATAGCAGTTCATTAAAAACACTTAAACCTTGTTGCCGATCACTTCTGATTACCAAAGTTAAAAACATGCTTTTGATATATCTTCGGAAGAATTCAGAAGACATTTAATTCATGGCTTATTCTCCAAAGCCATTATACCTCTCTTTTACTTCGTAATGAGAACTACATTCGTATGCCCGCTTTATGATCTTCTTTTCTGATGGTGCCTGCAACAGGACCAATCAGATTCCATAAAAAGCGAACGCCATTTCTTTTTGATGCGCTGCTGCTGTCTTCAAAGCGATCCTATAGCCTTCCTGCTCATCGGCACTTAATTCAGAAAAGGTTTCATAAAACACTATGCGGCTTATTAATGACACATCAACAGACTTCTGATGAATTATCAGATATTTATGAAGCAATTTACGTCCAGTTTCTTATAAATGCCCATGCAGCAATGGGTATGAGCATATGCAGACTGAACAAAGGAAGTTTCTGACTGACGGAATATCGATCTTATTTATACGTCCATACTGGTTGTCATCCGTGATATCCCTGCGTTATTAACCCCTGGCGAAGAATATAAGGAACGTCGGTTACTAGAAACGTGAATTCGCACATTGTACTAGTTTCAATGATAGAAAAACAGTTAGATACAGAATAACAGTTAGAAGGCTAGGACACTCGGCAATTTTCACAGCGTTGAACATTTAACTTGCTTTTCTGACATTACCTCGTGATATTGTTCCTGACGCATGAACTTGACGTCTGATTCGAAGAGGTGAGCAACAGCGTGAATCGGCCATCAGCCGGAATATTAAGCGAAGGATTATGATCCAGAATATAAGCGGGAGAAATAAGGCTCCTTTGAAAGACACAGCGGTGGCAAAGTCATACATTTTCATTTTTGAAAATGCAATAATCCAAGATACCCTTAAAATGCAATCGCCTCTTCTAAATGACGTGATCACAATAGCGCATGAGACGGATATGAAAACAGACATCTAAATGGACTTCCGAAGATTTTAAGTAGAGTAGAAGATTTGCGCCTGTCAACCCGTACGAATCGAGTATGTTCAGATATAGAACAGCGAATAGTATTTGAAGCGATGCCGAGAATACAGACAACTAAAATCTTTTCACGCGATGTACACTATTATATGTATCGCTGTCATGTAAAAACGGGAGACAGGTCAGGGAGCTATCTTTGTCAAAACCTTCGGCTACAGCTAAGGCATCCAAACGGCGCCCTTTCCAGGCGAACTGTCAGTGATCAGCTAGTAAAGCTGGTAGCATCTTAAGTCGTAATTATAATAAATTTTCCATGGACTTAGCAATTCTTGTGAGATCAGTCTGATCCTCTACTTCTTTTCACACTGTACAGTGGTACATGCAGTTAACTCTTTGAATAAGTGCACTAAATGTACCCGTGACACCTTGGTACTGTAGGCAGTTACTTCAATAAAATATCTTACAAGGTATTCTTGAGAAATTACTTCAATTCAGGGCTGGTCAAGGAAGGGTCAGCGATCAGAGTAAAATCAAAGTGTTTATTTCGGCTCAACATGCATTCCTCTAGTAGATTAAGCAACAACTTCCAACCTCTGTTTCGCTGCAGCAGCAAAACACAGACAGTGTTCTCCTCACAAAGTGTCTGTGTCACCATAAAGTCTACATTTCGGTGCACGCGCAGAAAAGGCAACCATCAAATAACTACGGTGCAGTTACTTTAAATACGTCTAGCGTCATTACAAACCAACCTCCACGTTATCAGGTATCTGTTTTTAAGAATATGCATACAACCTCTGATTACATGTACTTTGCCAATATAATTTATCTTCTTGTATACCTAGCTGAAGTGTACCTAAGCAAATTTCGATAAGTTCTGAAAACTTTTGGCAGAGAAGGCCAGCTTTTCAACATTAATGTCACAAACTTTATGGTAGATAGACTATCAGATTTATTATAAATCTTGATAAATTATTCTAACCGGCTCTCTCCATGCACTGCACCGGAAACTTTCTAAATGCACTTCGAAACCTCATTCCACGAAGTCTGAAAACATGTCATTATGTGAAGCTGACGCATGCTAAAAATCTGTGATCCCACAAATGATCCAGACTCTGAAGAACGAGGAATGGGAAAGGGAAAATCCGAATCTGTTCGAATCGATCCTTTCTCGCTAACCAACTGCATCAGCTTTCGAGCCATTAATCCATTTATTCGACATCATTTCTTATTCCTTAATTTTTTATTGCATAGTCTATTCTTGTGCACTACATTTATATTATTTTATCAGTGATTGCTGAACTGTTAGTCGATCCAAGTTTTACCTGCTATTTAAACTAATGTAAGCAGTAAACTCTTTTGGTTGATTGATTCTTAAGTCACTCTGCACAGCGAAATTGCATGCAGTCAGGAAAAGACGTAGGGTAACACTGTCAGAGTATGTCGAACATCAGGTACTGTCGGCACTGAAATCCAATCGATGAAACTTAACTGGCCAGTGGAGAATACCTTTGTCCAACGTAAATCGAAACGAACTAGATGGCTGGTTAAAGAATCGACTGAATCCAAAACAGTAGTGATGACGAACTAAGTATTACTTTATTAAGATGCAGTGCGCCAAAACACCACAGACTCCTTAGCTTGTTTACATGGTCTCCTAGACACTTAGAAGAAACAAACTGGCGCAATAACGCCCCACAGATTAGATGATTAATTGTACTTACTTCAAGAAGCATATGTTACGGCGCTATCGTTCTCACTACAAAGACACTGGCCAGGGGTTCCTCACCGGAAGACCACAACTAAAACATCACTTTGTTTATAGGCTGGCTGCCATCGACTAACTGAATAAGAACGTGACGATTTACCACAAAGGTAAATGAAATCAATGCACCGATCAAGTGCCTTCGGTTCGGCCCTGTCACACCTTCTTTTGGCGGTCCGTTGGTACTGTTTCTTATTCAGACGCCTGTGCGACTGCTCAACTCTATTATGCGATGTTTAAAAAAAAGCTTCATGAAGTGGCCTGCATGACTGATACAGTAAAAATGCTTCAAGTATAAAATAAACAGCACACCACAATTCAAATATTCATGAGGCTTCAAGAACTTTTTTCCCGCTTAAGCTGAGACAGTTCCAAACAGTCCTGCACTCCAGAGAGGCGGTTTCGACTTTTGAAGACGGTGCTTGACAGAAACCGTGCAATTCGATTTCGTTTCTTCAACGACGATTCATCTTAAGTCCATACGTTAATCACTTAATTCAAAATTCACCATTGATTACCTGCTGAAGAGGCTGACTTGTCCGCTTCTCTGGAACAAAAACAGTCAAAAAACAGTAGGCATGAGGAAAATCATTAATTTTACGATAAACTCGTATGGGTCAAATCATTCAAACTTTCTACTAATGAAAACATACCAAACTAAGCTGAGTCGAGTGATATTTGGCAAGATTCATTGCATCTGCGGATGAGGCATTCTTAAATACTGCAGATCTGTCCATAGGATTTCTGACCGTGCTAATTTTCACAACCAGGGCGATGGGTTCCATGGCTGGCTTCCAGAAAAACATCTCGTGTGTCAACGATAAAACGCGCTGATTCATGGTTTGAAAAACCATAAGATTTGTTTCACCACAATCATGATGTGTAGCGAATAAGTCGTAGAAAATTTTTCATGCCAGTGCGAAAACAAGGACGGTGACACAAAGCAATGACTAATTAGCAGTTAGGTATATACGCTGTTGTACCACCAGTGACTGCTATTCCTCAACGGAGAAAACTTGGCCGCTTTGGTCCTGAGGAGACGCAAAGCCAAATTTCCTACACTTTGAGTTTGATCAGTACTGCAAAAGCACTTGGCGTTCGCCATGTTTAACCTTGCAATAAGACCGGTTATAGGTAGACTCAATTCATCTCTGCTAAAAGTCGAACCCATCGCTTTTGCTTAATAATCGAGAGGTTGACAATGTCACTAACAAATACAATCTTCAGAGAAATGCAGACAACTGCGCCATTGACGGTCCCAAGCCAGGATGAGATAGGATGAAGGTTGGAGATCGTGGCAAGTCTCCGTAAAATTCAGCCACCTGCCTCTCATGGTATTGACTCCTTCGAAAATTATACCGGCTCGGTCGTCTCCCGCGATACCAAAGCTCACGCAGGCTGTTGCGGAACAGAGGCAGACTACGAAAAGTCGGCGATCAGAACCTGCTCACTGACCTCTGCCAGCCAGGGACGTGGCAGCATAACGAAGGCTGACGAAGACCGACGCAACGACCACGAAGATACCGGTCACCAACGGAGTCGCTACC